CCAACCCTAAATCTATGAAACTATGAAACTATGAAACAGATAAATATGAATTAGACTTGACCAAATTGCTTATAGTATTAATAACTCCATTTTGAAGGAGCACTTAAGAAAGCTGACTAAACATTAACTAAAGTATAGTGATACTTATTACAGAGCATATAAATGCAATGTTTCTTAACACTTTTTTGCAAGAAGAATTTAGCAAAGAATGAGAGGTATGGTATAATACTCTTTTCACTGTTGTAATAGTGTACTCTTATTGTTCTTTTTAACAGCAAAAGTTTTGTGATTTTTTTAAAAACATTATAGTATGGCAATACACACAGTACTGAAAGGGCTACAAGCAGTAAATAAAATCCCTGACAAAGCAGCAAGAAATTAAATGAGGAGATGACACTGATGCCTTTATAATAAAATACCTTCTAGAAAGTGATTCACAAGTGTAGAAGCAGCAGTGACCAGTGATGCAAGACAAAAGCTGGTCTGCAGGAAATATGTCCTTAGTATGCTATTAACAGATACTCTACTTAACTTAAAGTCTTTAGAAGCTGTGATAGAAAGAATTATCAGTGTTTGCTGTGCTAGAACTGTGCATGTTGTTACAGAAATCAATTGCAATGCTAGGGCTTTGATTCAATACAACAATTATGTGTGAGTATAACAATATTCCGTGTCAGTAGAAAAGAAAAGAAAAACTACAAAGTAGCAATATGCTGTCAAAAATGGAATATCAGACAAATAAAAAAACAAAAATCTGAGGTGGGAAATGCGCGCACACACACGAGCAGGAATACATACACACACATATGTATATGTGTGTGTATTTTCCCATTTCATATTTATTTTGTATTTATACACACAGGTGGAAAAATATATATACGTGTGTGTATGTGTGTGTGTACGTGTGTGTGTGTCTACACATGCATATATACATACATACGTCTATACATATGCATACATACACATGCATATACAGTAAAAGCTGTTTTAACCGATATTCTACTATCTGGAATACTCTATTAACTGGACATGGGAAGAGGGGGGAAGAGAAGCTCACATGCCACCGTCACCACCTACTACCCTGCTCTGCTGCCGCTCTGTGTATGTATGTGTATACATACACACATATATATATTAATATGTCTATATGTGTGTCTATATAGATATATGTGTGTGCATATGTATCTGTATGTATATATAGCTTTGTATACACACACACACACGCACACACACATATAAACATATTTTTTAAATAAAAGCCCCTGCTTTTGCACAGCTCTAGACCCCACAGGATAAGCTCTGTTTTTATGGAACAAACTCTATGGGGCACAAACTCGTTGCTT